CCCTACAGCATCTTGTTATTCGTAAATCCACACTCCAGTAGTCCTTGTTCTCCGTATTTTTGATGATACCTGCATTAGGGTAGATACTAGTCTGAAGCTGTGCATTCTGACTGGTACTAGCTGCTTGGCACAGTCAGTGCCTAAGGGGGCCTATAATGTCTGACTTCTAGCAAGTGGGGTTTTTGTTTGTTTCTTTTTGTTTGTTTTTTACGGTTTTACTGGGCACTAAGTTAGGTTAAAATGTAATCATTTGAAAGAGGATAGACATCCCAAATACACAGTAAAAATAGGTCAACAGGTTTTAAATCTGCATGGAGATGGTAGGAAACATGATCACATACATGTCAGTCCTGAGGAAAGGAGGCCCATGGCCACACCTGTGGTTTGCTCAGACTTACACTGTTACACTTGCAGAAGTTGTCATTCAAGATCTTTTGGGAAATACTGTAAATACTAGAATAAATTTAGACATGGTAGGGGGAGGGGAACCCCAATTAAATATTATTCCTTTTACGTAAGAATAGGATTTCTCTTTTTCTCTCCAAGATAAATCAAAACAAACACACATCTCTATATGCTAGATGAAATGTGTAAACACAAAGGAAAGAAACCATTTTCAGTAGCATCAGTAAAATTCAGAACAGCAATACTACCTTCAAAAAACTGCAAGACCAAAAACCTCTACTAGACTTGCTATAGCAATTAGAACCTTCTGAGAAAACATAACAATTTTTTCCTACTTCATGATGGTTCTCTAGGGGCTCACGGAAAGGCAACACGACCAAGACAGACCATGTTAAAAAAAAAAAGTACAGTAAAGATAAGCTCTTGACTGTATGTCATGTTAGCCAATGTGCAGGTCTAAGACTAAGAAGTTAAAAAGGATTTATGGTGTGTCAATGATGTCCAGCCTTCAGCTACTGTGAGCCAAATCACCTCTTACAGGAGCACTCACTGACCACATGCCACTGCTTCTCCCCTATTTGAACCCTTCAGCCTGTTGCACATAGAATCACAGAATCATAACATCATTTAGTTTGGAAAAGACCCTTAAGATCATTGAGTTAAACTATAAATTTAACACTGCTAGGTCTGCCACTAAACCATGTCCCTAGTGTCACATCTACACATCTTTTAAATACCTCCAGGGATGGTGACTCAACCACTTCTCTGGGCAGCCTGTTCCAATGCTTGACAACCTTTCAGTGAATAAATTTTTCCTAATATCCAATCTAAAGCTCCCCTAGTGCAACTTGAGGCTTTCCTCTTGTCCTATTGCTTGTTTCATGGGAGAATAAACCAACACCCTCCTCGCTACAACCTCCTTTCGGGTAGCTTGTAGACAGTGATAAGGTCTCCTCTCAGCCTCTTTTTCTCCAGGCTAAACAACCCCAGTTCCCCCAGCCACTCCTCATAAAATTTGTTCTCTAGCCCCTTCCCCCGCTTCGTTGTTCTTGTCTGCACCTGCTCCAGCACCTCAATGTCCTTCTTGTGGTGAGGGGCCCAAAACTGAACACAGGATTCAAGGTGCGGCCTCACCAGTGCCGAGTACAGGGGCACAATCACTTCCCCAGTCCTGCTGGCCACACTGTTTCTGATGCAGGCCAGGATGCCGTTGGCCTTCTTGGCCACCTGGGCACACTGCTGGCTCATGTTCAGCCAGCTGCCGACCAGCCCCCCCAGGTCCTTTTCCCCCAGGCAGCTTTCCAGACACTACCATGCACACTATCAACTGATTTTACTTGAAAGTTAGGTCTGTTGATAAAACAGCATATTTGCTGCACATGTGCTGTACTGTGGCTATAAGTCCCTCTCCTGAGAAACTCTGAGAAAAAAGAACAAGCTGGAGACAACAATTCTTCCCCATCTGCCAGCTACTGCCAGAACCATATCCTGAAAGACATCTGGAAAAAACAGTGGTCTGGACTGGGATCCAGTAATAAATTCTCAAGCTTTAACTATTCCCAAATCCTATTTAAAAGCTCTTAACAATACATTGTAATTTTATATGTGGATTATCTCATCTAAATATAATATATTAATTTTTACAATTAAATCACAAATAATGTAAGATTGATCCAAATATTTGTGAAATGTTAATGATTTAATACACTGTCTATGGAAATTTAGTACAGAAAATCTGTGAATGGAACTTGAGAATCAAAAAGCAGTGCAAATTTGCTAAAGGAGCATATATTTTTGACATATCTTAAATCAAAATTATACACTCAGAAAAGGAAGACGAATTCAGGTAAATTTCTTTGTCTGTATTCTTAATCTTTACCACTTAGCTGGAAGTAAGCACAATCAAAATATCTAAAATTACTAAGGCAAAAAACCATTTACGCAAAGTTACACAAAATGTACATACATAGATGGAAAAAGTATAGATGTAAATAAATCCATGACAGAAATATATGCTTTTACAGATTTATTTTTCACACTGAAATTCTTTACTGGAAGCTCTATAAATCTATCTAATAAATGGCTAATGACTGTCTAATGCATATAGTGCATGTTTGCAAACTTTCCATACTGAGGGAACAAACACTTCAATAAGCAAACCCTCACAAAACTGACTCTTTTCTAAATACACTCCCATCACTACCCACTGCACCTTCTCATTAATGCAGACAACTGTTGAAGTACTGCATAATCTACATGCAAGATTTCTAAATAATATGATGTATTCTAAAAACCCCATTCCAACCAAAATAATAACACATTACAAAAATTTTTTAGGAAATATTACACATTTTCCCCTCTCTGCTAGAAAAGAGTAACCAGCATTTCTATCTTTCATTTTGCATATACCAATTTGATATATGCAAATCATTATGCCTATATCCACATTCTTGTTGACTTGCATGTTATTTTCCTTTATCTTTCTTTAAATATTATTCTTTTGTTTCTTCTCACATTGTTATTTTCTTATGTGATATTTTTGGTTTTGTGACCTTCTACCTTAGAATGACAAATTCAGACTAGAAATTGAATTTAAGATCACATCTGTACTGCAGAATTGGTAATTTTTACTGAGGAGAAGGTTCATTGGATTGTGAGCTTTTTAATATGTTTTTGTACAGAGTTGTGCATTCTTTTGGCACACAGCAGCAACCCTTGACTTCCTCAGTTTCATGAATCCACCATATTCCTGTGTAACTTTGCCTTGCATGTTGCAAATTCTCCCATTATAAACAAATCAATATCATTTCAAAAGTTAAATCAAACATATTTCAACACGACAGTTTTGCACAACTAAGGTTTTAAATGTGATGGTGACTATTTGATAAAGATAGTGTGTGCCCATTTCAGTAGCTCTGATGTGTAACAAAATATATTGGTAAGCAGAACCTTCAAATATTAATGGTTTGCTGCTTAAGTTATCTGGGCATTTTGACAGCTAAGTGAAGTGAGCTGTGCAAAAAGCTGTCAGACTTTCTTCACTGAGACAGAAAACGTTCAATGACTTCTCTTACCTGGTCGTGCATTAATGTTGCAAGATGGGTTGCTTTTCCTCCAGGGGCAGCACACATGTCCAAAATTCTCTCTCCTGGTTGAGGGTTTAAAATATGGCTCACGACCACAGAAGGCAAGTTCTATCATAAAAACAAACATGGGAGAATTCAAACCTTATGTCCTGTATCAAGTCCTGTATTAAGGAATGATAAACACATTGAAACAAAAATTCATTCAGCAGCGAAGATACTTGTAAGTTCCTTAACAGAAAATTAAAATGAAATACTGGGATTTATATAAAAGAGACAGTATAGGTCAGAAGTCTCCAGTGGCTCCTTTTTTACTTAAAGCTATATATGAGTATCTATGACTGAAGTTTAAGGGTCACAACTACGAAGACTACAATGCTAAAAGTCAAAATAAAATAATCTGATACTATGACAGATATAGAGCAGCTCTGCGTATTAGAAATATTTTATATTGATCTTTTTATTGAAACATTTATTACATGAACATACTGGCATAGTATAGTAACAACCAGTAAGGTGAATAGGCAGGAGTTTAAACTTGCTGAATGAAAGTACCAAGAAGCTGAACTGCACTATTAATTGTATAAACAGAACAGATGCACTGAAGATAACTACTATGCAATAATTGTGCACAGTATTGCACCTTATGCACTACTGAAATATTCTGAAATATTCTCTTTGAACTTGTTTCAACACAAAGGTATAAAAGCCTTTTAAAGATGTCTTTACTACACGTTGTCTTTGGTTAGCAGTTTCAAGTTCCATGACACCATGTTAAAAAAAAAAAATGAACAATAACTAGATGCTAACACTATCAGGTGCAGGCCTTCAACTCACACATGGCAAATTCAAGTCGAAAACGCCAGGTTCAAAGTGCTGTGATCAGTGGCAAAAAGTCCAGTTGGAGGCCACTCAACAGTGGTGTATCCCAGGGGTGGACATTCGTGCCAATGTTGTCGAACCTCTTCCTTAGGGACTTGGCTAATAGAACAGAGTGCACCCTAAACAAGTTTACAGGGGATACAAAACTGGACAGAGTAGTTGATAAACTGGAAGGTTGTGCTGCCATTCAGAGGGACCTTGACAGGCTGGAGAAATGGAGAAACAGGAATCTCCTGAAGGTGAACAAATAGAAATGCTAACTCCTGCACAGGGTGCACTGATACAGCCTGGGGCTGACTGGCTGGAAGACAGCTTTGCAGAGAAGGCCCTGGGCATCCTGGTGGACAAGAAGCTGAATATGATCCAGCAATATGCCCTTATGGCAAAGAACGTCAACAGCCTCCTGGGCTGTGTTAGCAAAAGTATTGCCACCAGCTCAAGGGAAGTGATTCTTCCTCTCTGCTCATCCCTGATGCCTGATGTGACAAATCTGGAGTGCTGTGTCCACTCCTGGGCTTCCCAATACACGGACGTATTGGAGTGAGTCCAGACTAGGGTGGCAGAGATGATAATGGGATTGGAGCACCTGACATGGCAGAAGAGGCTGAGAGAGCAGGGACTGTTCAGTCTGGAAAACGGAAGGCTCAGTGTAATCTTGTCCATGTAGAAGATGGGCTCTTCTCTGAGGCATCCAGTGACAGGACCAGAGGCAATGGGCACAAACTGAAATATGGGAAATTCCCATATTTCACATAAGAAAAAGCTTTATTTATTTTTTTTAAACTGTATGATCAAACACTGGAACAGGTTGCCCAGAGCGTCTCCATTCTTAGAGACATTCAAACCCAGCTGGACATAGCCCTGAGTAAACTACTCCAGCTGACCCTCGTTCGAGAAGGGGAGGCTCGACTAGATGACCTCCAGAGGGCAAATTCAACTATTCTGTGATATTAAATTAAAAAAATCAAACCCCAAACCCAAACAACCTACACTTCAAACAGAAATAAAAAGAATTTTGAACTACTACACAATTCTGAATTTTAGTGTCTAAGGTTGGCACCCAAATCTACATCCCACTACTAAGACACAGACCTCAGTGCACAGAAGCTAAATTCTCATGTACACCAGTCTGTTAAATAACCAGTCTCTCTAACAATTCTGTTCCTTGGAATAAAGTACTCTGACAAGCTGAATCAGGGAAGAAAAGGTGTCTCCTTTACTGCAGGCCATGAGACAATATATTGCTTCATAAACCACCCTTTGCCCACACCAGAAGACAGCACTGATGCTGATTTAAAAATATTAAGATCAATTACAAACAGAATATGTGCATTAAAATAACTCATCTGCTAAACTGACTCTTGTGACAAAAGAAATAAAGACAAAGACAATTCACTGTAATAAAGGACTTACCTTATAGAGTGAGAGTTATACAAATCAAATGAGGAAATAACTTCGAATTTCAGAGAATATCTCTGAACAAGGGTTTATTTGAGATAAAGTTTATATTTGCTTTGAAGATTAAAATTTTTTTTGAAGGCTGGACAGCTTGATTTTGTTTTAAACTCTGCTGCTAAATCATCATATTTATATCAAAAAAATACAACACCACTGTTGGAAGACTAATTGTTTTAGAAAACTAATTGAGGTGTTCACCTTATCTTCTATGTCAGCAAACGGAAATCAATAATTTTACCTGATCTAAGAAAACTAGAAAGTTCCATGATTTCATCATCCTACATTTCAAAATAGCACAGGTGGCCAATAGTCATGTCTGAGTATTGCTTTTAATTAGTTTTATTGTGGGAGGAAAGGAGTACAGGTACCACCAATATTAAAGAAGTGAAAGGAAAAGCTAGCTTGAAATAAGTTATTAAATTTCACAACAAAAACTACACAAAAATTTGTCATTCTCTGGAAGCTTTGCAGTTTTATGGTAGGAGGTAGTGAAAGCTCTGCTACTGTAGATTTTTTTATGGTTATTTTGTTCAGATGGATTTTTTTTAATTAGAGCTAAAAAGACATTATTTTCTCTCCAACTTAAATTCAACCTAATACTTGGAGATTTTCCTGATTACCTACAGAAGGATGTACCCCGAAAGAGGATCATATTTCAGAGTTCATAGGCAGACTCCAAAAACTAGAAGTTCTATGAAGAGTATCTGTGCAAAAAGAATTTCTAAGTTTTTTAAGTTAATATCTCTTAAGTCACTTTGAAGTCCCTTATAATATCTCAGATGCTTAAACCACCTACATGTAGATACTGACTTAATTCTAAATGTTTTGTATTCTTTAAATCCAAAGAGTGAATTAGGTGCCATATTACACCATGAATATATAAAATATTAATGTGTGCTTAGAGGATATTCATTATTCTGCAAATAGTACAGACTTCTATTTTTGTAACAAACATACCTGTAAAAACAAATGACTAGGGAGCACGCTGTCAAATGAAGGACTAAGGTAGACCGGCTCTGTCATTCTTATGCCCATCCCACTGAAAAACATGAAAAAAAAAATCTACTCAGATTTATAATCTTTAACAGTATTCAATTAAAATCATTATGCTTACAAATAGAAACTTGAGAGAATAATTCTACAAAAATGAAAGCACTTATAAATCAACTAAGAAAAATACTTTTACAATTTTGTTATCTGATAATCTTTAAAATTACATTATTAAATTGGGTAAACCATAACAAAAACTGTACTACAATATAAATTTGAACTATCTGTAAAAATTACATAAAGCAGATTTATCTTTTTTTTTTTACACATGACAAACCGAGACCTAATCCAAGCCTTGATAATGTAAGGAAATGCATTAAAAAAGATTTAAATATATTAATTTCACCAAAACAGCACCTACAAATATTTTTAGGAGATGGAGAAATGGATAAGGCAGCACTTCTGTTCCACCTAAACAGAAAAGTGGTACAGAACAATTTACCAATATGCAATTCTGTCACAGTGAGACTGTCACTTCTGTTCTATATTATTGAAGTCATATGCTAAACATAAATTCTGAAAAGGCTCCCATTTATTTCCTCCTACCTCTCAGGTAAACTGGTATCTGGATACCACTATGAAACTAAGCGTTGAGTCTGCTAATACTTACTGTAGTCTGTTAATCATAATTGCCATCCCATTGCTTCTACCTTAGTTGTGAAGTTACAGAAGATAGCAGGAGGAACAATTCTACTATACTGCCAGAAAATAATGCTTCCCCAAAAATACTGGAAATCCCAACATGCAACACAGGTCTCAGTCAAAGCCATCCTGTGGTTTCACACAGGGTACAGAACATTTCAAAATGTCTTCCCATCTTCTTCCTTCCCCTTGCAAAGGTGTAGGTGTAGATTGCTGTTACTATGGACTTACTTCAACGGTCCACTTGAACTAAAGATTTCACTGCGACTCAGTGCTGAAATCCCATTTCCAAGGAAAACTTTGACTCCTTGAAATTCTTTGGCTCCTCTTTTACATTTCCCTTCAATATCTGAATACACTGAGACCAGATCTCCAGCTTTCATAACTGCGCAAAGAAGAACGGAAATTTTTTAGATTACTTGACATGACAGTAGTGAACAAATAATCCAAGACTTTCAGTAGACTACTTACTTCAACTCCTATATCATAGCAATATTTAAACTTTCTTAATGCAATCAAAGACAAAGATTAACTGATACTAGGCTTGAAAGTGCACATGGTGAACAATGGCTATTGGCTAGAGGTATTGAGAGATACAAGGTTAGAAATCAGACAGCATGTCTCACTTTTTAAGAGGCTAGATATATCTTCACTTTATTTATTTTAACAACACATGGTCACCCATAAATTTTAAGCACACTCTTCAGGATTCAGTCCTGTGTGTGCTCTAAGCATCCAAGTAAATCAAACACTGGTTCACACTTACTGTACAAAGACAATAATACTAAGTTTGTCTAATGACCTCTCAATAGCTAGGTAGAACATAGCTACAGCTCCTTTTTCTCTAACTACTGCTTTGATACAATTGATTATATATTCTTTTTCTGGTGTGGTTCTTTTCCCTCTAAGGCATCTGCTGTTTACAATAATCCTCTAAAAAGTTTTACATCTCCAACTAAAACCCTCCAGATCAGTAAAGTATGGAAATATACACCAAACTCTAGAAGTGTAGTCCTAGGGATTTGTCTTGGTGTCAGGACCACCACCAC